CATCTACCTCTGTCTCTATTTTTCATTTGGTGCTTGGCATGGGCTTCCTTGTATGATAGCACTTGGCTTCTTGTCAATGTCTTATTTCCCCCAACTCAATTTTTAACAATCAGTATGAATTTGAACAGTTATTAGGTGCATATGCTTCAGAATTCGAAAAGTATCAGAGAGATTTAGGAACAAGAAAAATAAGTCTCTTTCATCTTGTTCCACTCTTGGCAGCCACCACTGTTAATGTTTTTGTTAGTGTTTCCTTCCAGAGATGTCTACATATGTATAGGTTGAATATCCCTTATCTGAAATGTTTGGGAACAGAAGTGTTTAGGATTTCAGATTTTTTCAGATTTTGAAATATTTGTGCATACATAATGAAATATCCCAAATATCTTGGGACTGAAACCCAAGTCTAAATATGAAATTTACTTATGTTTCATATACACCTGATACACATTGCGTGAAGGGAATGTTGTATAATGTTTTAAATATTTGTTTTGTTTTGTTTTTTGAGATGGAGTTTCGCTCTTGTTGTCCAGGCTGGAGTGCAATAGTGTGATCTTGGCTTACTGCACCTCTGCCTTCCAAGTTCAAGTGATTCTCCTGTCTCAGCCTCCCGGGTAGCTGGGATTACACGCGGCTGCCACCATGCCCAGCTAATTTTTGTATTTTTAGTAGAGACAGAGTTTCATCATGTTGGCCAGGCTGGTCTCAAACTCCTGACCTCAGGTAATCCTCCCGCCTTGGCCTCCCAAAGTGCTGGAATTACAGGCCTGAGCCATTGAGCCCGGCCTATGTTTTAAATAATTTTGTGCATGAAACAGTTTGTGTATATGAGGTCAGGTATGGAATTTTCCACTTGTGGCATCATGTCAGGTACTCAAAAAGTTTTGGATTTTTGAACATTTCAGATTTTGGGTTTTTGGAGTAGGGATGCTCCATCTGTACTACCATGCTTGTATGCACATTCAGTATACACTTTGTTCTACACCTTGTTTTTTCACTTAATAATAAATCTGGAAGATGGTCCATATGAATACCGTTAGCTATGCCTCATTCTATTTGGTCACAATATAATATTCCATCATATATCATACCAACACTTGTTTTACCAGTCTGCTATTAATGGATATTTAGATTGTTTCCAATCTTTTGCTATTAAAAAGAATGCTGCAACACTTGTATTTTTTTTTTTCATGTATAACCATACATTCTTAGAATTGAGATTTCTGGGTCAAAGATTATGCATTTTAAATCTTGCTCTCTTTAGAAGTCACACCAGGTCGGACACGGCGGCTCACGCCTGCAATCCCAGCTACTCGGGAGGCTAAGCAGGAGAATTGCTTGAACCCAGGCAGCAGAGGTTTCAGTGAGCCAAGATTGCACCATTGCACTCCAGCCTGGGCAACAAGAGCGAAATTCTGTCTCAAAAAAAAAGTCACACCAAATTACCCACCCTCCCACTACCAATCTATAAGAAGGCCTGTGCCCTCAGCCTTGCCCATACAATGTATTCAACTTTTTGGTCTTTGTCAATCATCCAATAAGAGAAACAAAGTATTTTGTTGGGGCCATGTGCTCAGGTGTGGTGGCTCTGGCCTATAATCCCAGCACTTTGGGAAGCCGAGGCAGGTGGATCATCTGAGGCCAGGAGTTCGAGACCAGCCTGGCCAACATGGTGAAAATCCGTCTCTACAAAAAACACAAAAATTACGGGCACATGCCTGTACTCCCAGCTACTTGGGAGGCTGAGGCAGGGGAACTGCTTGAACCTGGGAGGTTGCAGTGAGCCAAGATAGTGCCATTGCATTCGAGTCTGGGTGGCAGAGCAAGACTCTACCTCAAAAAACAAAACAAAGAAAACCAACCCCCCCAAAACCCCAAAGTATTTTGCTGTAGCTTTATTATTATTATTCTTTTAAAATTTATTATTATTTAGATGGAGTTTCACTCTTGTCGCCCAGGCTGGAGTGCAATGGCATGATCTTGGCTCACTGCAACCTCCGCCTCCTGGATTCAAGTGATTTTCCTGTCTCAGCCTCTCGAGTAGCTGGGATTACAGGCATACACCACCACACCGGGCTACTTTTTGTATTTTTGTTTTTTTTTTGAGACGGAGTCTCGCTCTGCCGCCCAGGCTGAAGTGCAGTGGCCAGATCTCAGCTCACTGCAAGCTCCGCCTCCCGGGTTCACGCCATTCTCCTGCCTCAGCCTCCCGAGTAGCTGGGACTACAGGCGCCTGCCACCTCGCCCGGCTAGTTTTTTGTATTTTTTAGTAGAGACGGGGTTTCACCGTGTCAGCCAGGATGGTCTCGATCTTCTGACCTCGTGATTCGCCCGTCTCGGCCTCCCAAAGTGCTGGGATTACAGGCTTGAGCCACCGCGCCCGGCCTACTTTTTGTATTTTTAGTAGAGACAGGTTTTCACCATATTGGCCAGGCTGGTCTCAAACTCCTGACCTCAGGTGATCCACCCGCCTTGGTCTCCCAAAATGCTGGGATTACAGGCATGAGCCACCATGCCTGGCCTGTTGTAGCTTTGGTTTACGTTTTTTTTTGTGAACAAGATTGAGCATCTTTTCATATGTTTAAAAGCCAGTATTTCCTCTCCTGTGAGCTGCCTGTCCCTTTGTCCATTTAAAAATGGCATTGTCTTTTATTAGTTGGGATTTCTTTGTGGACAAAGGAAATTAAACCTTTGTCTGCTAGATGTGTTCCATATAATTTCCCTCGGTTGTCATTTGTCTATGTCCTATCCCCTTGAGCACAGAGACTGGAATTTAAGCTTCTTTATATTCTTATTTTATTTATTTATTTATTTTGAGACGGAGTTTCTCTCTTGTTGCCCAGGCTGGAGTGCAATGGCACCATCTTGACTCACCGCAACCTCTGCCTCCCGGATTCAAGTGATTCTCCTGCCTCAGCCTCCCGAGTAGCTGGGATTACAGGCATGCACCACCACCCTGGTTAATTTTGTATTTTTAGTAGAGACAGGGTTTCTCCATGTTGGTCAGGCTGGTCTTGAATTCCCGACCTCAGGTGATCCACCCACCTCGGCCTCGCAAAGTGCTGGGATTACAGGCGTGAGCCACCGCGCCCTGCTATATTCTTATTCTTAATATAACAAGACATACACGGTAGGTGCTAGACAAATGTCTGTTGGGACGGCAGAGTAAGAAGAAAAAGGCAGAGATCTGGAAAATCTGGAGTGACTTAACCCAATCACTCTTTCCTCTTATACCAAGGCTAACTCTTAGTCTTTGTGTCAGTCAGGACTCTTGTAAACAGCAGAAGCTAACTGGCAAATTGTTTCAAGTTCGCTGCCCCCAACAATTACAGAGATATCGGATGGCACTGGAATCAATGCAAAGGCCAGCAAACAAGGGTCAGCAATCAGACAGGCACCCAGGGAAGCTGGGCAGCCAGCACCACACTCAAGGTTGGGCACAGGACAGCCTGTGTAGGAGACTCCTGTCCCCTCCACCCTCCGCAGTGATCCCCCTACTCTCCTCCCTCACCTGCGGCACTAGCACTGACATTTCCTCCTCCAGACACTAGAGGCCGCTGTTGGCCCCATCGCCTCCACCGCCGCCGCAGAAATGAATTCCTCAACCAGCCCTGCTTCTCCGTGACTTGCTCCAGATTCAAAGTCCCAGTTGAAGCATCCGATTGGCGGAGCTGATGTCTTCTGCCTGCAACCCTAGAGCCGAGTCAGGGAGAGCAAGCATTGGGGCTTTGTGGCAAATGGTGGCATGCTTCCCATTAGGGCCCGTGCGATGGGAATTCCCCAAATGTAGGCAGGAGGTTCTGATGGTGGGCGGCCAGGAAAACAGGACACTCACACCACCTTCTTCTCTTACGTTCGGCTCAAGCCCTTCTCGTTGGCGAAGTGTTTCTGGGTCCCCCAGCCTAAAGCACTTTTCTGGACTCACGTAACCATTATTGCTTGAGCCAATCACGATGCCAGCGAGGACCGCAGTAACACCTAATATGTACCATGTCTCATTTGACTTTCAAACAACCCTAGGCACTACCTATATTTAGTGAGAAAAAAAGAGTGCTCAGAGATTTTCCCAAGTCTCACAGTAATGCCAGGTTGTACTGTTTCCAAAGCCTTGGGTTTCCCAGCGGGCCACACTGATGGGCTGGTATCTTATCAAGTTCAAGCTCTGCAAAGGCAGTACTTGGGCCACATTCTTCTTTATACGGCCTGGCAGCATCTTGAATGCAGAAAAATGCTCAGCTAACGCCTGTGGATTGGCCTGGATGGGATCAAGCAGGAGACAATTCTGGAAGGTTTCCTAACCCTCCCATGAGGCCTGAACCCAGGGAACATTTTGCAGTGGAATAGGCCTAGTCAGGATCAGTTTGGGAAGACTTGAACCTGGGGAATTCCGTTCTACTGTCCCCTTTACCTCACCTCCCCCAAATGTGTCCAAACTGTCAACAAGAGGTTTGCAGATGTTCATTATTTATTCATCCTACGGGTAGTTTTGAACCCCGACAGCTGCTCTAATAGACCAGTGAGAAAAAACACACAATTCCTGCCCCGTGAAATCGACATTCTAGTGGGTGAGGTGAATGGTAATAAAAAATAATCAAACCAATAAATGCTAATTTGTGGCTCTAAGAAGACTGATGAAGGAAATGCCACGAGATGCTGTAAAAGGCAGTTCTGACCTACTCAGGAAAGCCAGGGCAGCCTGCTGGGGGACCTGGGGCTGGAGCTGGGAGCTGAAGAAGGGGGAGGAGTTAGAATTGTGGTCGGGGGAGGGAGGGAGGAGTACGAGTCCTCGAGGTGGGTGAGTAAGCATGGATCATCGCTCATGTTTATAAGAAAGTGACAGAGGGACCTGGGGGCCGGGCGGCTTGTTTGTGGGCTGCCCCAGCTTCCGTGCGAGCAAAGTCTCGCCTGGATGGAGGCGGGGCAGCAGTCTCCCAGGTCCCAGCTGGGGCTGACGTCGTCCTGGTGCGTGCCCAAAATAGCTGGCTCCGCCCTCTTCTCCCGACAGCCCCTGCAGGCCCCCACCCCCGCCAGGGGACTGGCGGAGCGGGCCTTCTCCCGGTCTCTAGTAGTTTCCGCGCCGCTGACGCATGCCTGCGCGCACAGCTGGGCCGGGCGCGTCCTACGCAGCAGCCGCGAGCCGGGCTGCGGGTGCCAGACGGTTCCCGGCGGGGGGCAGGGGCGGGGCGCCGCAAGAGGCCGGGACTCCCGGCGGAGGAGGTGCAGCCGGGGGCCCGGGTCAGGCTGGGGGCCCTGGGTCGGACTGCTGGAGTTGGGGGGGCCCGATAGGGCTCCTGGGCCTGGGAGTCAAGATAGCTCTTGGCCCCGGCCTTCGGGGGCAGATAAGGCTGCGGGAGGGAGCCTAGTCACCGGCCGCAAGCAGAGCCTAGTGGGCTCCGCTTCCAACTGGGAGCGCCTCCCGCCACCCGGGGGGAGACTGCTGCAGCCACAGGGAGGGGCTCTTGGTTTTTTCCGCCTGACTCCTTCTCTCCTGCAGCCCCAAGGAGGCCCGCTTGACGATTGACCAGTTGCCATGGCATCCTACTACGAGATCCTAGACGTGCCGCGAAGTGCGTCTGCTGATGACATCAAGAAGGCGTAAGTGCCTCCGTGTGCAACAGAAAACCTCTCACCCTCCACCCGCCACCACCATGGGGCACTTCAGAGTGACACCTGTAGGTGTCTGAGGGAACCAGGTCCTTAGAAAGCCCTGGGGTGGGGGGCTTCCTCCGAGTGACACCTGCAGGGAGGAAAGAGACCCCTGGTAGAGTACAAGCAGAACGTCCAGAGAGTGAAGTAGTTAGTTCCGCTGGGAGCTGCACTGTGTTGCGAGTTGTTCTCCAGTGGATCTTCCCCTCCTTCTTCTCCTCTCCCCTCCCCTCCCTTCCCCTCCCCCTTCCCCGTTCCCTCTTCCCTCTAGATTTGGGCATTCTCAGGCTGCAGTGCAAAGATGCCGAGGCTCTGTGAGGAGGAGGGGCCGGTGTCCCTGTACTCTTCGAGGCCACATGTGCCCCAAGCTTTGCAGCCCCAGTCCAGCGAGCCCTAGGGAGGGGCTAGGGATAGGCCTTCTCACCTTGGCATTGTATCCGCTTGTACACGTGGTCCTAGCACTGGTGGCAGATGAGAGAGGGTGGAACTTGATGAAAACATCACACAGAGGCAGCCCTAGCAGCTGGGGTGGACTGGGACACGGCGGTGAAAGGACAGTGATGGGCTAATGGGAAAACGGGTCGTTCTGTTCCTGGGTGGGAAGTGCCTGCATTTGTCCCCCAACCCGCTCCTCTGCACCCACTTTCTGCAGGTATCGGCGCAAGGCTCTCCAGTGGCACCCAGACAAAAACCCAGATAATAAAGAATTTGCCGAGAAGAAATTTAAGGAGGTGGCGGAGGCATATGAAGTGCTGTCTGACAGTAAGGGCCCGAATCAGGCAGGACCCAGCACATCACTCCCTACTTCATGCCCCAGCTCATATTTTCTTAAAGCAATGTCTCTGCCACCCTAGTTTCCTCTGTGCCTGACATTTAAGCTCCCCCTCCCACAGGGACAGCTCAGTATCTGCTCCCCAGAGTCTGGTAGGAGTGACTGGCATGAGACCTGCAAGGAGAAGGAAGCAGGGCAGGTAACTCATGTGAGCTGAGCCACCTGCATGCCAGGCATTGGTGGGTGTCATCTCCATGAGTTCTCACAGCCGTCCTATGAGGCAGGTTCTATCACCCCCATATTACAGGCAAGGAAACTGAGGCTGAGAGAGGTGAAGTAACTTGCTCAAGGCCATGCAGAGCTGGAATATGAATCCAGGTCGGCCTTTTTATTGATTCATTCAAAATGTAATTCACTGAATGCTGACAGTGTCTGGCACTCTCTGGGTTCTGGGGAAACTGGAGGACAAGCAGGCACTGTCCTTGCCCAGAGGGGCAGGGAATACCAACACTCACCAGGCACACACACAGACAGTTACAACTTGTGAAGAGTATTCTAGAGGGAAGAAACAGGGCAGGTGGAGTGTTAGGGAATAACGTGCACCTGCTTTTGTTCTGGTGGTTGTAGAAGGCCTCTCTTAGGAGGTGACATTTAGGCTAAGCCCTGGTGAATAATAATGTAGTAATCATTAGCTAACATTTATTGAACACTTCCTATGTGTCAGGCACTGGTAGGCAGTTTACGTGGATGGTCTCATTTGATCTTTGCTACAACCCTGTGCGTTAAGTGCTGTGATGACAGCCATTTTCCAGATGAGAAGAGGTCGGCTGTGTGAAAGGCTGAGTTGCTGCCTAAACCTATGGCAGGGGTGCCATGTGTCCCCTTCTGTGCCTGCCTTCCCCTGCCAAGTGTCAGAGTGTCAGTCTCTGGACAATCCTTTGAGCGTCCTAGCCTGGAAGGGGAGGCCATCCCAGAGGGAGGGTGAAATCATCTGGTCTCTTTTTGCAGAGCACAAGCGGGAGATTTACGACCGCTATGGCCGGGAAGGGCTGACGGGGACAGGTAGGTGGAGTGACGAGGTCCAGGAATGGAGGTGGGGCAGGGAGGAGAGGGGCAGGGCAGATTCTTGCAGTGGAGGCTTTCTCAGACTCCTGGCCATGCCTTAGGTGAGGTCCCCAGCTCAGGGCAGGATGCATGCCCTAAGCTCTCTCCTTATCCTGCCTTTCCAGGAACTGGCCCATCTCGGGCAGAAGCTGGCAGTGGTGGGCCTGGCTTCACCTTCACCTTCCGAAGCCCCGAGGAGGTTTTCCGGGAATTCTTCGGGAGTGGAGACCCTTTTGCAGAGCTCTTTGGTGAGTGGACGCCGGAAGCCTCTGAATGGCTCAAATTCCCCTTCCAGGCCTGTCCTTCCATCATTTGGGAGGCCCTGAGGTAGAAGGCTGAGAGGGGATGGGAATGCCATGGACAGAAGATTTTGTGGAGCTGGGTCCAGTGAGAGCTGGGACAGAACCATACATGTGCCAGAACCCCCGTGATCCAACAGTGACACTTCACAGACTCACTTTATTAAATGACAACGACAATAATACACTGTTAGACCTCTACAGTAAGAGCTGTGAAGGCAAGACTCAAAGCATCTTGTTAACAATATTATTATTATTACCTATAAAACAGATACTGGTATTTTTTAATGATTGATATGTGCCAAATATTTTACATTCCCTAATTCTCTAGTGAACCCTGAGAGGTGGGCAATTTTATCTCCATTTGCAGATGAGAAAACCAAGGCACAGCCAATAGCTCAGAGTCACATAGCACATGGCAGAGCTGGACTCCTAGCTGTGTCTGCCTGTCATCGCGTCATGATGATTTGCCTGTACTGAAAGAGCCATCTGTCCTCCATCCCTCTGCCCCCTCCTTCCTTCCTTTATTCTTTATTGTGGACAGAATTAACTAGTGAGCGTCTTCGAATTCAACATTAAAAAGGAATTTAATTATAAATAAGCCCAACTAAAAAGCGGAAAAGAAAAACCCTACCCAGTTGCTTAGCATTTATACTTCCAGACTTAACAGCAGGGCTCACACACTTTTGGGGGGAAATGTCATTACCAGAGGATTGCTAATCTGTTTACTTGTTGCAGATGACCTGGGCCCCTTCTCAGAGCTTCAGAACCGGGGTTCCCGACACTCAGGCCCTTTCTTTACCTTCTCTTCCTCCTTCCCTGGGCACTCTGGTAAGTTTTGCCCCTTCCCACTTTTGCAAGCTCCGATTCCTGGAACCCTTGGACTGAGCTTGTTGCTTTTCCAAGCCTGTCTCCTGTGTTGGGAGCCCTGCCTCCAGCAGCCCTGCGAGGAGGCCTGGCGCCTCGGTGACCACGATAGGCAGCGCAGTCTTCTTCTAACCACCTCTCCTCCTCCTCCCTTGTCCCGATGCCAGATTTCTCCTCCTCATCTTTCTCCTTCAGTCCCGGGGCTGGTGCTTTTCGCTCTGTTTCTACGTCCACCACCTTTGTCCAAGGACGCCGCATCACCACACGCAGGTAAGAGCTCCTTCTGGGGCCATAGAGGTGTAAGAGGTCTGCTGGGTAGCTGTATTCAAATAGAAAATTGGCTCCTTGAGGGCAGGGCCCAGTCTGCACTCTCTACTGCGGTGGCCAGAACTGTGACCAGCACCTGCAGGAGTCCATCACTGCTCGTTGCCTGAACTGTGCTATCTCTCACAGAATCATGGAGAACGGGCAGGAGCGGGTGGAAGTGGAGGAGGATGGGCAGCTGAAGTCAGTCACAATCAATGGTGAGGAGTGGCTCCACCACCCAGCCCCTGGCGGGAAGCCCCAGCCCCAACCTCAGCAGCCTCCTCCCCAAACTGCTGCTCTCTGAACTCGCTTGGGGCTTGGGAGGGAGTGGCAACAGGCCAGACTGGTAGGATCAGAGATGGCAATGCTGGGAAGGGGGCGGAGGAGTCTCACGAAGCCATCGCCGTCACTGTGAGTGGGGTGCCTTACATTTGCAAAGCACTTTACTATTTTTAAAGCACTTCCAGATATACGATATCCTCTGTATTCTTCAAGCATCTGGGGGAGTACACAGGGCAGATGGTATCCACTCAGTTTTAGTTTGGGGAGCCTGAGCTGCAGCATAGTTAAATGACCCTAACTTCCAAGTAGCCCAGGCTCAAGACTCTTTTCTTCCAAGTAAGGGGAAGGGCCAGGAGTCAAACTCAGGACGCATGATTGCCGGAGCAGAACTGTCTCTGCAACACCTTGCTGTGCAGGACCGTCACCATAGCTCACCTTTCCTGCCTGCTGACTCCGAGCACTGTGCACCAAGCCCTTTACATGGGCTGACGTATTTAATCAGTGGAACAATTTGAGTATGAAGGCACTATCATTTCCATTTTCTTTTTTTTTTTCTTTTTTTTTGAGACAGGGTCTTGCTTTGGTGCCCAGCCCAGCACGATTATGGCTCACTACAGCCTCGACCTCCTCAGCTCAAGCAGTCCTCCCACTTCAGCCCCTCGTGTAGCTGGGACTACAGGCGTGTGTTACCATGCCCAGCTAATTTTTAAATATTTTGTAGAGTTGGGGTCTCACTATGTTGCCCAGGCTAGTCTCGAACTTTTGGGCTCAAGTGATCCTTCTACCTAAGCCTCCCAAAGTGTTGGGATTACAGGCATGAGCCACTGTGCCCGGCCATCATTCCCACTTTCTAGATGAGAAAAGGGAGGGGTAGGGATATTGAGTGACTTGCCCAAGGGTAGGAGCTCCTACCTGGTAGAGCTGAATACTTCCCTGTGCTCAAAATCACAACCCTAGGTGCCAAAATGCATGTGTGCCAATTCCAAATGAGAGACTCTTAAGTGGTCAAGGTCGTTACTGTGTGAGGCAACCTGGCAGTAATACCCCGGCTCAGGTTGGGGCCTCATGGTGGCTGTGACTCTTGCAGGTGTCCCAGATGACCTGGCACTGGGCTTGGAGCTTAGCCGTCGCGAGCAGCAGCCGTCAGTCACTTCCAGGTCTGGGGGCACTCAGGTCCAGCAGACCCCTGCCTCATGTCCCTTGGACAGCGACCTCTCTGAGGATGAGGACCTGCAGCTGGCCATGGCCTACAGCCTGTCAGAGATGGAGGCAGCTGGGAAGAAACCCGCAGGTGGGCGGGAGGCACAGCACCGACGGCAGGGGCGGCCCAAGGCCCAGCACCAAGATCCAGGCTTGGGAGGGACCCAGGAGGGTGCGAGGGGTGAAGCAACCAAACGCAGCCCATCCCCAGAGGAGAAGGCCTCTCGCTGCCTCATCCTCTGACCACCAGGCCCAACCTGACCTGATCCAGGTCTTGACTGGGGGTCTGGCTCACTGTGGGAAGAGCAGAGGGGAGTATCCTGAGTTGTAGGAACTGCTTTGCAACTCCATGCTCCCTCCACGAGTTTCCCTCCCAGGCCCCCTGCACCCCACTGTGGACTTGGGATTTGCTGTGCTCAGCCCAGGACTGATAGGTCCCTGGTGAAACCCAGGGTGGGGGGTGTCAGGACAGTGGAAGGGCCCGAGGAGCCAGGTTGCATTTATTGGATGGGGAGCTCCAAGGGGCATTAGTGGTTTGGGCTGGGCCTTTTGTGCCCAGGTCCTCTGCCACCTGTGTTGCTGATGGTGTCAAGGAAGGAGGACTTGGCCTAGGGTTGTCTGAGCCGGAGCCGGCAGCTCCACTGGGGAGCAGCGCAGGCGGAGTGGAGCCTCCTGCTCTCCTGGTCAAGCTGCAGACCCCCAACCCTGGTTTCTGTGCCATGTTGTGCTCTGACTGTCTCTGTTGCTTCTCTTCTGGTGTTGCTTCTCCTCCCTCCCATTCTCTCTGCAACTCCCTGCGGGCCGCATCGCTTGCTTTCACTGCCGTCTGGCTAGGACTCCCTTCTTCCTTCCTTCCCCGAGAAGGCCTCAATGTGGCGAGGAAGATGCTGGGGCCGGTAGGGCTGTGAGGTCTTCTGGGGAGGCTAGCTGGGTGGGGCGGGAGCCTCTCAGCTGTCCGGATTCAGAACTGGAGCCCACTCCTCCTCCCTTCTTCCCGTTGCCTCAACCTGCCCTCACCCTCAGGACTAGGCAGAGGTGAGGCTGGCTCACTCTGAAGAGGTGGGATAGGACCAGGGGGAACCAGGAGGGAGGCCTAGGTGGGAACTGCACCCATACTGCTTCCCTACCATACATCAGGGCTCAGGGAGAGGCCATGCGGCCAGCCCAGGTCTGCATGCTGAGCCCCATCCTCCACAGCTTGCCGCTGATGCTCTCTCCTGTCACCCCGCCCCCGCTCTCTCCCCAGATGTGTTCTGAGCTGGATGCCGGGATCCAGAATCGCTGCACAGTTCCAACAGGACAGCGCCCTCCCCCATGTGCTGGGAGGGGACCCTCCATTTCTCCCCCTCACCCATGCTGAGTGTAGAGCTGGGGCCTGGGTAGTGGGTGGGGGCCGGGTGGGAGGCGGCAGTAGTCTTAGCCTGTGCACTCTCTTCCTTGGGTGTTTCGTGCTGGCTCCTGGGAACTACAAATCCCAGAGTGCGGTGCGCCCGGCCTCATTTCTGATAGATCCCGCTTGGGGGAGGTGGTGCGTGGTTACTGAGCTGTGCATCTTGGGACATGTAGTAGCCCAGGTCGGCTTGTCACTCGCTGTGAGATGGGGAGATTTTGTCTTTTGATTTATCCCTGGAGGGCTGGCAGGGTTGTAGATGAAGGAGGAATGATCTGAGCATTGGTTCCCCTGACACATCTTGCTAGCCCCAGGGTTAGAGTGGGCAGGGCAGAGCTGTGCAGCACCTGGGAGAGGTTCCTTTCCCATGGGCAGCCTGGGGTCCCAGGAACAAGCCAGGGCGAGTAGCATGTCCGCCTGAGCAGAGTGTGGCCCCAGAAAGCTGAGGAGTGTGGGTGGCAGAGAGCTTTGAGGGCAAGGCCACCCGCAGGGGCGTGTGTGTGGCGGGGCTTGGCATGTGATGGTAGCTCCAGGCATGCTGCTGCTTGTATGGCTTTCTTTGGCCTCTGACCCTGCTGCCCGTTCTTTCCAACATCACAGATGAGCCGCCTCTCCTCCTCCCTGCCTGGGGATCCCAGTGGCCAGGGAGGGGAGTGGTGGAGCTAGCCGCCGTTAACACTGAGCCTCAGAGACAAACCAAAACCAGCTGGGCTGAGCTCAGATCCAGGGGGAAATGCTGGAAGTCAATAAAACTGAGTTTTGAGAGCTCGGTGGCATGTTGTGTTCTTGTGTTCCTACTTTCCGGAGTGGCCCAGGAGGGCCTCTAAGGGACAGTGGGTGACACTTCAGGCCTCACACCTCCCTTTATGCCCCTACAGCTAGAGGTGCAGGCCTTGCCAGTTGAAGGCAGAAGTGCCCTCTTTGACCAGGCTGCCTTCCCCAAGTATGTTATGGAACACCAGGCAATGCTCCATTCTTTCTTGTCACCTCTTGGGGGCCCACAACCAGCTTTCTCTAGCAGCTGATGCTGCCCTTATGAGGGGCCTCACCCCTTAGCACTTCACAGCACAGCTAGGACCATACTCAGTTAAGACTTAACTGAGGCCGGGTACGATGGTTCATGCTTATAATCTTAGGACTTTGGGAGGCTGAGGCGGGCAGATCACTTCAGGGCAGAAATTTGAGACCAGCCTGGCCAACATGGCAAAACCCCGTCTCTACTTAAAAAAATACCAAAAAAAAAAAAAAAAAAAAAAAGCCAGATGTGGTGGTGCCTGCCTATATGCCTATAATCCCAGCTACTCGGCTGCTGAGGCAGGAGAATCGCTTGAACCTGGGAGGGAGAGGCTGCAGTGAGCCAAGATCAAGCCATTGCACTCCAGCCTGGGCAACAGAGTGAGACTGTCTCAAAAAAAAAAGAAAGGAAAAAAAGACTAAAAGCACAGAAAGCGAGAACACACAGTGAAACCTTTAAACTGTACCCCCGCGAGGCCCACAGACTAAGCCCCTGGGCAGGTTTCATTGGCTCAGCCCAAGGTGTGAGCCAGTGGCACGTGGAGTGGCACGAGTCCAGCCCGTCCAGGGCCCACAGAAGAAAAAGCCAGGTACCCCTTCCCTTTCATCTCCAGCCACCGTGCTGGGACAAGCACCTTTCCGTTGTCAGGGAGGGCCGGGTGGCTCCCCAGGCCTCTCTTCCATTCTAGGACGGGCTCTTGCCTCAGCATCAATCACCAAAGGGCCTCTACTATATTTTTCTCAAAGCTAAGAAGCAGCCTACCCTGAAAGAGGAATTTCAAACTTCCATCCTGAGTTGGGTGGAAGTTTGCAAATGGCTGTTTCATCTACATCTGTCTAGCCCTTGAGATGGCTATCACTGGTGCTGAACCTCAGCAGAGTGTGGGTGAGACAGCGGGACGGCCTGTGGTCAGCTGGCGGGTCCCTTCACTCCGGCTCCAGGGCAGATGGTGTTTGCCCTGTTTTTTATTTAAGGAGACTGAGTCTCAGCATAGGTAAGTGGCCCTAACTCCCAAGTAATGCCAGGCCTAAGGCTCTTTTTGCCTTATTTTATGTCCACCACTTCTGTCCAAGGATACCTCATGACATGTAGGTGAGTATACCTTCTGGGGCCATACAGGGTGGAGGGTTCTGGGAGCTGCGGTGAGACAGTGTGTCCTTTATCCCCAGGGGAACGCCTGTCCTAGCATCTCACAGGCCCAGCCTGAACTCACTGTCAGAGTTTTGCTATAGTTTTGCCTAAGGTGTGGCAGGCACTTTGCTAATATCACCTTGTTCAGGCCTTACCTCAATCTGGCAGCAGAAAGGCACAAAGCAGCTGCCAAGAACTGAGTGGAGGCGGGGCGCGGTGGCTCCCGCCTGTAATCCCAGCACTTTGGGAGGCCATGGCGGGCAGATTTTCTGAAGCTCAGGAGTTCCAGACTAGCCTGGGCAACATGGTGAAACCCCGTCTCTCCTAAAAATACAAAAAATTAGCCGGGCATGGTGGTGCATGCCTGTAATCCCTACTCGGGCAGCTGAGGCAGGGAAATCGCTGGCGCCCAGGAGGCAGAGGCTGCAGTGAGCCGAGATCGCACCACTGCACTCCAGCCTGGGTGACAGAGCAAGACTCTGTCTCCAAAAAAACCCCCAAAACAAAAAAAGAACTGAGAGGAGAGGTAGTAGAGAGGAGGTTAGTCAGCCAGGTGCAAACTCTTAACTCCACCTTACCATCTATCTATCTATCTATCTATCTATCTATCTATCTATCTATCTATATTTATTCTTTTTTTTTTTTTTTTTTGAGTCAGAGTCTTGCTCTGTCACCCAGGCTGGAGTGCAGTGGCACGCTCTCAGCTCACTGCAAACTCCACCTCCCAGGTTCAAGCGATTCTCCTGCCTCAGCCTCCCAAGTAGCTGGGATTACAGGTGCCCACCACCACACATGGCCTTTTTTTTTTTTTGTATTTTTAATAGAGACAGCGTTTTGCCATGTTGGCCAGGCTGGTCTCGAACTCCTGATCTTAGGTGATATGCCTGCCTCGGCCACTCAAAGTGCTGGGATTACAGGCGCGAGCCACCATGCCCGGCTAATTTTGTATTTTTAGTAGAGATGGGGTTTCTCCATGTTGGCCAGGCTGGTCTCCAACTCCTGACATCAGGTGATCTGCCTGCCTCAGCCTCCCAAAGTGGTGGGATTACAGGTGTGTGACATTGCGCCCAGCCACCTTACAATCTTACAAGTTGTGTTATGTGTTACCACAAGCAAATTCTGTGCCTCAGTCTTTCCATCTGTAAAATGAGACTCATCATGTAAAGCACCTTGGAGACTGCTGGCCACGTAGGAAGCCTCTTTCTAACCTAGCGTTCCGGCCTAGGAGGGCCTTACTGGCAGCTGGTGTTCTCCTGCTGTGCTCTCTGCACCTTCTGAGAGATCAGCAGGGACCGGCTGCGGGGTTAGGCTGGGTTTGGAGTCCAGATGCCCAGCGGACAGAAATGTGTAGGAGTCTGGGTTGCAGCTGCACAGACAACACACTAACTTTATTCACACTGGTACAAAAGTAGATTTTTCTAGAAATGTTCTCTTGCGCCAGAAGGAGAGAGGTTGAGCAGCACATGGTGGGAGGGTGGTGGGAGGAGGCTGGGCATGAGGCCAGGGAGGGCGGAGCGCCCAAGTGTGAGTCAAGGAGGCAGGCCTGGGGCTGAGAAGCAAGGGGAGCCAGGTGTGGCGACCCTCCACCCTGTTCTTCCACATTGGAGCATAGAGGGGCACACAGAGATGTTGGGGGAGCTCCCGGAAACACAGGAGAGCCACAGGAGAGCCAGGCCAGGGAATGTAGGCAGGAGAAGGCTCTGGGTAGAATTGCTGCCCATGTCCTTTCTTCTCCTGGCTGCAGCACCCCCGTGGGATGCCCCAGGCTCTGGGATGCCCCGGGCTCTGGCATGCGTGAGGCTGGGCAGGCGTGCCCCTTCTGGCTTCCCCTTCCTGACTCTTCTAGAAGGGCTGAGCATGCCCAAGAGGTGGCCGGTGGGGCAGTGAGGAGTGGGTACACAGAGATGCGCACACAGGCAAAGAGGGACAGAGGCTGGGCTGCCTGCCAAGGGGCCCCAGGGTCTCACTGGGGCAGGGCCTTGAGGATGGCATTCACCTCCTCCGCCACGGCTGTCAGGGCAAATTCAAACTGGTCCTGGGGAAGGGCAGTGGCAGGATGGTCACGGAGAGGCCTGACCTCTGCTCTGCCCTCAAAGTGGGGAGTTTTTGGTGGGGGTGTGGGGCCCTGGGCAGGTCCCCTGGGAGGAGGGGAGTCCTCCTGGAGGAGGGACAGAGGCAGGTGGGAGAGGTTGGCAGCTGCCGCTTTCCCTGGGGTGGCCAGGAAGTGGGTGCTAGGGAAGGGTGGCAGCTGGGGTTGGGGCAGGAAGGCAAGGTCACCTTAGAGCGGACAAGGCCAGGCCGCTGGTCACGGACATGCTCCAGGGTGGCAGCGATGTCAATCTCCTTCACTCCTGGAGATGGGGGTGGGGATGGGACTGCTCAGGGGGTGTCCAGAGGAGGACAGGACCCAGAAAACCTGGGGCCTCCTGGAGGCGAAGAGCTTTGGAGGGCTGGGCAGAGCCTAGAGGTTGACAACCTGCTCCTTCTGAGCTCCCAACCCTGTGTGCTGGGGAGCCTCTAAAAAGGGCCTGGGGGCTGCGGGCGCCATGGGGAAGCTCCCTACCTTTTGCCATGCGGTTCAGGACCATGTCGATGAGGATGTAGGTGCCGGTCCTCCCTGCACCATCACTGAAACAGGAGTTAGTGACAGGTTTAGCTTGCAATGCAGCAGAAAGGAGGAGGGATGGAGGAGGCCTGAAGGCCTGGGGGAGGGGAGGACACTGGGTGACCCCTTTGGGTTGGCTTGGAGAAGGAGTGAGTGAGCTGAGGATGAAGGAAAGCTCATAGCACCTGCACGCTGGGACTTGGGCCTTGAGAGGGGAGTCTGTGACTTGTGGGTGTCACTTGGGCAATAGGACAACCAAAGAGGAGAGCCATGGCTCAGCCCTGAAGCGTAGGCAACAGGAGGGAACTGGATGGGCCTCTCTAGCCTTCAGCAAACTTTTTGTGTATGGGGGCCAATGGTCAATATTTTTCAACTTTGTGGGCCACATACAGTTTGTGTCACATACTTTTCTTCTTTTTTCTTCACCCATTTAAAAATGTGAATGCCATTCTTAGGTCTTGGCCACTAAAAACAGGTGGTGTGCTGGATTTGGCCCATGCCTGGTTTGCTAGCACCAAGGGGACAGGCAGGCAATGTGCACAGGAGACGCACACAGGGAGTTGGACCAGAGAGAGGGACCTCCTCTCCACCCACCTGCAGTGCACGATGATGGGGCAGGAGCGACCCCGGTAGCACTTGTTCACCTTCCTGCAACAAGAAATGGGTGTGAGGGCCAGTGGGCACCAGCAGAGAGGGAAAGGGAAGCCGAAACACATGCCATGGGCCTCTCTTTCTTCCTTTTCTCCCCACCTGCCGGGGGCAGAGGGGGAAGATGGTCGGAGAAAGGAGCCAGGGCTGGAGGCAAAGAACCAGAGCTGGTGTGGGTGGCACTGGGCTCGCCTTACAAGCTAGGTGCCCAAGCTATGTGCCTGGAACAACTGATTTAACCTCTTTGAGCCTCAGTTTTCTTACCTGTAAAATGGAGGATAGGAAGAATAACCTCCTTAGGGTTCTTACAATGATCACATGAGATAACCCATGTAAAGAGCTAAGTGCCAGGTCTGGCACACAATAGGTGCTCAATACATAGTAGCAACTATTAATGATAATACATCATCATATTAAGAGCCGCCTCTGCCCAAGTCCAAGGGAATAGGCTTTCTGGTGACTTCAAGGGTGTCCGTCTTGCTACATCGTTGCTCTGCCCCTCTGCCATCCTCTATGACCACCCAGGCTGTTCTCCTCCGGACTCAGGCTCCAGTGGTCCTTAACAGTTGTGACATCAGGCTGCCCTGGGCATAGCATTCCCCGGGCCAAGGGAAGACAACCCCAACCCCTCAACTCGGGACATTGTGCTACTGTCTATCTCCCTGGAGCAGTCTCACTTCAGCACAGGCATTCTGTGGCCACATTACATTCAGGCTTGGGGTCCACTTGGACCTCAGACCTTTCTCTGCTGCTCCTGACCACGTCTCAGTGAGGAGTAGGGGGCTTCTCCATCTCTCAGTGAACCCATCTAACCTGCCCTTGTCCTTTATGACCTTTCTGCTTTGGGAGTCACCTGCATACTCCTGATATCCCTGCAAGCCAGAACTAGGGAAGATCTTCTTAGGGGTTCTCAGATTGAAGTTTGGAACTTCGCAGTCCTTCAGCTATGGGACCAGGTGACTTAGAATGGCTTTATAGGAGTCCACATGGTTTTCTAGCTCGTTGGCTGTTATGTCAGAGGGCTGGGGTAGAAAAGTAGTCACAATAGTTGTTTTTGTTCATTTAATAATGATAATAGGCAGCATCTAGAGTTAATTGAGCCCTTGCTATGTATCAGGCACTTATGCTAGATTTTACATACTTCATCAAATCTTGCAACAACCCTCTAAAGCAGGGGTCCCCAATCCCTGGTCCATGGACCGGTGTCAGTCTGTGGCCTGCTGGGAACCGAGCCGCATAGCAGGAGGCGAGTGGTGGGCAAGTGAGTATTACCGCCTGAGCTCCGCCTCCTATTAGATCAGCCATTGCAGTAGATTGTCATAGGAGTACGAACCCCATGGTGAATGGCACATGTGAGGGATCTAGGTTGCCAGCTCCTTATGAAAATCTAATGCCTGATGATCCGAGGGGGAACAGTTTCATCCCCAAACCACCCCCCTCTCCCAGCCATGGAAAAATTGTCTTCCACAAAACTGGTCCCTGGTGCCAAAAAGGTGGGGGACCTCTGCTCTAAAGCATGTGTCATCATCCTCATCTCACAGGTAGGGGCACGGAGGAAGGCCAAGGAGCTTGCTCAGGGTCACTTTCTTAGGGTGTCTTTTATTAATTTGTTTTCCTTCTCAGGGGGCTTGACTGAACTGCATTTATTTTTTCTGTTTTTTTTTTTTTTTTTTGAGAGGGAGTCTGGCTCTGTTGCCCAAGTGGGAGTGTGGTGGCATGGTCTCGGTTCACTGCAACCTCTGCCTGCCAGGTTTAAGAGATTCTCCTGCCTCAGCCTCCTGAGTAGCTGGGAATACAGGTGCTTGCCACCATGCCTGGCTAATTTTTGTATTTTTAGCAGAGCGGGGTTTCACCATGTTGGCCAGTCTGGTCTTGAACTCCTGACCTCAAGTCCACCCACCTCGGCCTCCCAAAGTGCTGGGATTACAGGCGTGAACCACCGCGCCTGGCCCCGAACTACATTTATTAAGCAACAATTTATTTGTTCTGGATGTCTAATGCCAACTGAGTTTACATAATTCCAGCCT